CATAACATATGGCTCCATGTAGCTGCTGTAACGCTAGTGGTTTCTCTACATGCAGTCACCACATGGAAATGTCTGGCCATTATCATTTTATTTTTCCTTCTTTCCAGATGTGGCCCGATGCGGCAGGTTCTGCTGGAAACGCAAAGAAACCCGCCAGCCCCTCGGACAAGAACAGCCTGTCAGGGAGTTTAACATCCAGCCGGAGAAAACAAAAGGCACGCATAATGGGTTAGGACATCTCGCTTTAGATGATTAGGAAACCCGAGCTCTCAGTAACATGCAAGACACCACCAATTTCCTTCGCAAACGTGTCACTGGGTGCCATTTCGCCAGAAGCGATCCAAGCTGTATCAAATACAGCAGGAACTCTGGCAAGGAAATAGAAGAAGAGTCGAGGACTTGTGCCAACAGGCAGGGCGATAAAAAGAAAATAATATAAATAAAAAAAAGGACTCTAAGTGAATGGAACAACCTTATTAAGGCTTTTTAAAATTCATTGAGCAACTGCTGCAGATATTTTTCAGCCGTGCTATGTGTACCTGTGATCCTCCTTCACATTATCATACAAGTTTCTAGCTGTGGTCTTTTGGCCTGTAACCCTAATGGTGGCAAGTTGTCATGAAAGGGAATGGATGAAGGATGTTTTTTCGGCAGTCTCAGGCCTTCAGGCATGTTCCAAGAGAGGGGGTTAAGACTTCATAGCAAAATAACTGTAGCCACAAAAAAGGGAGCGTTATGCTTCAGGGTAAAAGCTGTTTCTCATGTGGCAGTTCTGACAATTTTAAAAGGGACTTAAAGGGAACCTTCAGCCATTGCCACTGGAAGATTATATCAGATACAACCAGGTGCCTGCACACAGTTTCAGTTAGCTCCTAGAGCTCCCTGGGAAATCTGGAGTGCTCTAATATGCAGTCTCATCCCCTCGTCCACCTTACCACTGGTTCATCAATGTGATGGGTGGCACTTTTGGTAGAAGAGTGTCATCCTCCTAGTTGAATCCAATGTTTTGGGGTCTTTTGAGCACTCTGAAAGCCAACAGAGGCTATGCTAAGGCACCTGGAGATTGATTTAAAAAGACCCTGTCACCAGCTTAAAAACATGCAAATAAAAGAACAGGAAAATAAAGTGCATACATTCTTATCTTGCTGCTTTTTTTCCTTCCCAGAAACAATGTTTTATTGACTTGCAATGTGCCTCTGAACCTGCTTGCAAATTTGGCTTCCATTGGATACCCAACCTCACTCCTTACCAGCAACCTATTAAGGATGGGTGCTAAAATGACTGCAGATAGCGCCGCTCAGATCAATGGAAAAACTGGATGTCACCAGCACACCGGAGAAATGTGTCCAAACAAACATCTTTTCATGATGCATAGACATGCTGTCTCAAGGATGGCAATGTTTTTTAGGACCTTGCAGTGTCCCTTTATCATATATTGAGCATGATTAACGGACCCTGCGTGGCCTTAAATTGGGCCCTGGGACAATGAACCCCAGGAAAAAACTGTTCTTTGATTCATTGGTGTAAGGGGATAGTGGCCCCCAGGAGAGAATAACCCCTAAATCACTGGCATCAGTGGGACAGTTAAGCCCAGGAAAAATCAGTGCTTTAATTCATTGGTATCTTGGGAATAGTGGCCCCCAGGGGAGCATAACTCCTAAATAATGTTTTGTCAGCTAGATATTATACCCTTCAGAAAAAAACAGTCCTTCGTATCATAGGTGTCAGTGGGATGGTGTCCCCCAGGGGGCAAGTAATGATCATTATGCTGTGCAATAACTTGCATTGCAAGAAGCAGGCTATTCATTTGAATGGGCTGTCTAATGCGCCATAAAAGCATTTTGGCTGAGCACTGCATATCCCTCATCAAGGTGAGTTGGGGTGCCATTCAGAATAAATTGCACTGCATCACACAAATTGCATTTAACATGTACGTGCATGTGTTACCAGAGCGCAATAGTGTGAATGTGACCTTAGAGCAGTTCCTGGTCATTTCTATGGACCGCTTTATACTCCCTGAACAGGGGCAACGGCATGCAAGAGCAGGGCCTGGCTACAACTGCTTGAATAAAAACACTGTAAGCATTTACCTAAAGAGGTTCTTGATGGCACCTGGGTTGGACAGACTGGCTCCTGAATTCCATAATAATTTGTCCACCCCTGCTACTACTTCACACATATTCTCTTCATTTACATATTTCTTATCTATATAATTGTGCCAGGGCAGTAGCCACATTTTCGACTGGCTTTGGGCTTTGGGTTGACATCAATTAGAGATGCATCTGATCTTATACAGAATTCATTGACAGTTGTATTTTACCCACAGAGAAAATATTATGGAGGGAGGAGGAATTGATAAAGCACAGCTTCACTAAAAATGGAGTTGATCCTTGAAGCCCCTCTTTCAGTAAAAAAAAAATGCTTCAAAAGGTCTACCTGTAAAAGTAGAGAGTGGATACGTACCTATCTCTATGCCCATGTCACCAGTTACTGATGTAAGTGAAATCCCCGCTGACGTCTTCTGGAAACCCAACACTTCCAGCTAGGGATGTCCCGATACCGGTGCTAGCATCAGAATCGGGCCCGATACAAGGCATTTTGACAAGTACTTGTACTTGTCAAAATGCCCCGATGAAGCCCCCTCCGATCTACTCAATGGCCCCTCACGATGATCTCCATATCATTCCAGGGCTCATTAGTCTCATGGAGGCCTGCAGGAGGAGACACTAAGCACGGAGCAGGCAGAGGAGATCTCCAAGAAGACTTCAGCAGGGGATTTCCCTTGAACCTTTACATGTAAACCTTTTGGGTCACATTTTTTACTGACAGGTTCACTTTAAGGCTCTATTATTTCTTACCGTGAATCTACCAAGTATTTTCAACTATTAATGGAAAACCTACTTCTCAAGAGCAGGCTGCATGAAGCTTCCTCTACAACCATTATTAGCCAGAAAAGTGTCTTTGCTGTGCCCCTCTGATCCTAGTTTTACTAGGATTCTGGTTTGTTCTGCCCTGCCTAATTGCTTCACCTCAATATCTCTTCAGCAGGAAGCAGAAGTCTGTTAAGGATTATATCATTGGGCACCATTCCGAATCACTACAAGAAGGAACTGGCATACAAAAGAACATGTATGGTCCCATGGAAAACATTTTTGATTATTCTTTCAACTTTTAGGGCTGTAAAGGAAGACTGACAACATATACAGCATGGTTTAAAGCCACACAGGCCAAACTCCTAGGCATTTACTAGATCAATAACAAATTATACAGCATTGAGCAGAAAAGAGAGGGTGTCTGATACAATGTATATGAGCAGACTCCATACAGGCCTTTTGTTCGATTCAAAATGGTTTTGCATTCCCATACAAGTCTATAGGAATGCAAAGCCTACTTAAAGCAGGTCAAATACAAGCCAAAAGGAAGTCAAATGCAGGTAAAATACAACTGTCAATGAATTCTGTATAAGATCAGATGCATCTCTAATTGATGTCAACCTGAAGCCCAAAGCTGTCGAAAAAGTGTTTAGTAATGAAGACATTTATCAAGTTAGCACAGCACATTTTCCCTCCTAATCTGACACAGTGCTTTGAGCATTTTCTCTAAATCATTATAGATTTCTGAAGAGCACTATGTTTTGCCTATAATGCATGCCGAATAGTGACTTCAGGTAACTAGCCACCTATACTCATGATGTCCAAGGTATATTATTTTTTTGTATTTAATATTGTCAGGACTAAAAAAATATTTATTTATTTATTTATTTATTTTAAATTCCCCAATTTTTTAGTCAGGTAAGTAAGAAATATTGCACAAATATAATGTATTCCCACATCCATGCATCTGATGGTCTTAAAAAAAAAAAAGGCTGTCATTGTTAAATAGTAAAATACTAGTCACCTAGATGTCAAGCTGATGCCTTAGTTTCAATAATAAGTTTTTAATAATTCGTTTTTAATCATTTAAAGTTTGAGCTACTGCCCTGGCACAATTGTATAGATATGAAATAAGTAAATGAAGAGAATATTTGTGAACTAGTATCATTATGGAATCCAGGAGCCAGCAAGGTTTTTTTTCTAGGAACCAGGTACATTGACATAGAGCAGTAATCATATTTAACTATGCGTGGAGAACCACTTTAGGACTGCAGTTCTACTACAACAGCCAAGGAAGTGCTGTGTAATCTTGTTTGCTTTGCAAGAGCCCTCTGGGACATCCAGGTTAGAAGACTTAGAACTTGGATATATGAAAGCTAAAAATTCTCATATTCCTAGTTTTAGGTTCCCAACTCTGGTGTATTTGGCCAAGTAGTATGAATATCAATGCAGAATCTGAAAATAGAAAATGCTAATAGAAGCTGCACGTTGCCTGGTTTATATAGAAACTGAAAGTATACAGTTCAAAAATCAGAAACTGGCATAAAAACAATAGGAACTCGTTGTTGTTTGAGATACAGAAGGTCTGATGATTCTTCTTAGCAGTCCATTTACCCCCTACACATAAAAAATACTACCCCTGCACATATAAAATAATACACTACCCCCCATACACATAAACCCACCACCACCACCACATATAAAATAATAACCCTGCACACCCACATATAAAATAAAATACAGAGCCCCGTCTCCTGCTTACCTTTTTGCAGGAAGGAGGCGAGCAGGCATGATCCCTGGTAATCTAGTGGTGATTAGTGAGGTCTGCTGCAGTGCTGGTGCTGACAGGAGCAGCTCTGCGGTCTGCATCCAACAGAGATGCAGACCGTGTAGCTGCTCTTGCAAAGTCAGGTACCCTAGCGGGCCGGTACCTTGAGATCGCTGATTTACAACCTTCTCTTCTGCTGTCAGCTTTACCCATAAGCATCCAGAGGTGGCCACATAAGCAAAAAGCACAAGCAGTAATTGTTGCATTTTGGTACTGTCTACAAAAACATTATGGAAACTATATCTTGAAATACTCCTAATACAGCAGACGTATATGAAACAGTAATCTGGGACACCCACCAGGAATGACAAGGAACAGAATTTCTGGAAAATCATCGTTGGTCTTCTTCAAGTCTCTCCATGGTCCAAATTTAAGGACTTGTGTAGCAGCTCCAAGACAGTAGATGAACTCATCATGAATTGGAATGTTGTCATCAAACATTATGCTAAAAAAATTGAAAGAAAAAAAAAGCAGTGGTCAAAAGGAAGAAAATACAACAATATTCCATATCAATAAAACAAGCAACTAAGGTACGTAAAGACTTTGAAGCTATAGATCTGTCCATTGGGGGTATGAAGGCTGATTTGACACTACCCTATCCCCGGCCTAAATTATTCACCAATCAGAACCTTGGGAATGCCTTAAAACCACTGTACAGCCTTCTTTATTGACAATAAACAACCAGTGTTGTACTTCTAGATATACACTCCTGACATAGCTTTGAGCCCAAAGAGAGATTTACTTACATAATTGAATAACTTCAATTATGTAAGTTTTAACCTTTTTCGTTACTTTTTAAAAAATCTTTTTGCATATATCTACTGCTTGCTAGCAGTAGATATATGCAAAAACCTCTAAGGGTTTAATTATCCTTTAAGGAGTTCTTAGGTGACTTAGGACAGTTGGATTTCACCTGCAAATCTACCTGTCTTCTAATGTCTACGGAGGCCTTTATATTCAGAGATTTAAACTGTTCTTTCATTGCGTTCTTCACAAACCATCATTTAACCTTGATTTTTTTTTTTTTACAATCCCGTATTCTACTCCCACAAAACTTTCTCCCGAGAAATCAGTTTTCACATCGGTCATTCTTTCTTTCTTGCCCCAGCTGAAAGGTTTATAGATTACTTGGTGCAAGTACTCTGACACAAAGCTGCCATTTGTTCAACTAAACTGTCTTTTCTTTCAGCAATTTTCACAATAGACTCTTGCTTTGATTGTGATAACAATTTACCATTGGTTTTATATGTACCCAAGTGTTTCTAATGCAGAAGCACATGGACATGGCTGAATTTTCTAGACTCCTTGGCAGTCTTCTTCTTCTCTGTTCATTGGCTCCTTGTGCTACTTCTCCCTCCCCGCTCTGAGCTCAGTTCAGGGACTACAAGAGGCTGATTTCGAGTTGAGCTTTAAAGTGACATTAAATGATACTCCTCCCCCCACAATTCTAGGGTAAGGACTTACCTTAAATTATGCCTCTTGATCCGATCATCTTCTTCTTTCCAGTAGTTTTCAGCTGTGCCTCCAGTGCTGGTGCAGGTCTCTGATCCATCGCTGACTGCTGTATCCTCTGTGTCCCACGGTGTCTGTGCGGGTGCACGCTGCCAGGCTGCCTGCATTGACTTACCTTGTGTCTCTCCTCATCTCCCGGCCGATGATCTGTTCTGTGCATGTGCCCGCCCCATGATCCTTTGTGGCCGCCTGAGATTTTTCAGATCTTTGGACAGGAGCGAGCGACAGAGACACATGTAAGTTTTAACCTTTTTCGTTACATTTAAAAAAATCTTTTTGCATATATCTACTGCTTGCTAGCAGTAGATATATGCAAAAACCTCTAAGGGTTTAATTATCCTTTAAGGAGTTCTTAGGTGACTTAGGACAGTTGGATTTCACCTGCAAATCTAACTGTCTTCTAATGTCTACGGAGGCCTTTATATTCAGAGATTTAAACTGTTCTTTCATTGCGTTCTTCACAAACCATCATTTAACCTTGATTTTTTTTTTTTTACAATCCCGTATTCTACTCCCACAAAACTTTCTCCCGAGAAATCAGTTTTCACATCGGTCATCTACAACATATCTCAAGTCAATTGCAGGGGCTTCTATCGTCTGTTGCTTGAGCACACAGTTTGGTTTGGCTTCCAGCATTCTTTCCCTTGTTTTTATGGAGAAAACTTTATCAGCCATTAACTGCCAAATGACATTTTAGCACCTGGAGATGTTTTTAACACCTCAAGCCCAAATGGTTTAGAATGGTTTTCTTCTCCTCAGAAAGGCCGATGTTAGGGACCTTAATGAGCTTTATCCATCAATCAAACACCTCTCACCCCGTGCTTAATGTGAAGCTTGTTTGTAGAAGACTTTATTGGTCCCTTGTACAGTATTGTAATAAGAGTATGATGAATAAGCAGATCTGATTATTCAGCTCACATTAATACTTTATAGCCCAGCCATTAACTATGGCTGTGCTTAACTTAAACATTTTCTTCAGCAGTGTTAATTTAAAGGTATACGTCAATCAAACATGAATGTTTTTCATTCAGAGAAACCCTGTATTGACAGACATATATAGGCTTAGATTTCTGGCAATCCTCTGAAAATGCTAACTGCTTGGCCAAGCTTTTGCCTTCTATGCTTTCCACTGAGCCACTGACCAGGAACAAATATGCGGGTCACAAGTCCAAACTTCTCTGTTTGCAGGAACACTGACCAAAACATACGGAAAGGGGACATCAAGACCAGCGGAGAACTTTGTCAGGCAAAGGTCTCTGTGAAAAAACAATTTTTGCCCCCCCCCACTTATTCATGTCAAAGTACAAAACGTATTCACTGTAGATGGACAGAGGGATAGAGATGCCGATGTAAGAGTAATCATGAACTCTTACAGGATTCATAATATGCACTGCGGCTAGACAGTGAATCCCCCCCACAGCTTCAAAACCCATCAAGAGGAAATGGGGAAATATCTTGGTGCCAATCAGGTAAGGTAGGAAGGAAAGTCTTGCTGCTGTCCAACACAACCAAGATATCTCCAAATCCTTGTGGCGTGACATAGGAGATACAAAACAGCCCTGCCAGTGTGTCCACAAAGTTCTCACAATCTGGCAATCACAGGAGGAGAGAGAAAGACCCTTTTCTTGGACCAAGGAGAAAATGCTGGCCGAACTGACTGGGGATGCTGGTTTTGCACTTTCCATACCACCTATTAATAGTACAAAAACTTACTCCTTGTAGATGGATGGGGAGAGGGATAGAGATGCAGGTGTAAGAGTAGCCTTTGTTATGCCCTGAACTATCTCAGGCAGTGGCTAGACAGTGAACATCTCTCTCAGTCTGAAAAGCCATCAAGAGAAAATGGGAAAATGTCTCCGTTCCAACTAGGCAGGATTTGAAGGAAAATCTTGCTGCCCAACACCATCAAAATATCTCCTAATTCCTGTCAAGTGGCAGGACAGATAAAAAGCAGCCTCCCACTGCGGCTAGGTTGAGAAAGGCTGGGATAAACATCTAGAACTAACGGTGGTTTGTTGTCCTTACCTTATATACATATCAAGAGTATATACACTATATTGCCAAAAGTGTTGGGACACCTGCCTTTACAAGCACATGAACTTTAAAGGCATCCCAGTCTTAGTCCATAGGGTTGAATATTGAGTTGGCCCACCCTTTGCAGCTATAACAGATTCAACTCTTCTGGGAAGGCGTCCACAAGGTTTAGGAGTGTGTCTATGGGAATGTTTGACCATTCTTCCAGAAGCGGATTTGTGAGGTCAGGTACTGATGTTGGATGAGAAGGCCTGGCTTGCAGTCTCCACTCTAATCATCCCAAAAGTGTTCTATCGGGTTGAGGTCAGAACTCTGGGAAAATGTTCCCACAAAGTTGGGAGCATGAAATTGTCCAAAATGTCTTGGTATGCTGATGCCTCAAGAGTTCCCTTCACTGGAACTAAGGGGCCAAGCCCAACCCCTGAAAAACAACCCAACACCATAATCCCCCCTCCATCAAACTTTACACTTGGCACAATGCAGTAAGGAAATCGGATTGCCAGACAGAGAAGCGTGATTCGTCACTCCAGAGAACACGTCTCCACTTCTCTAGAGTCCAGTGGCGGCGTGCTTTACAACACTGCATCCGGCACTTTGCATTGCACTTTGTGATGTAAGGCCTGGATACAGCTGCTCGGCCATGGAAACCCATTCCATGAAGCTCTCTACTCACTTTTGTTGTGCTAATCTGAAGGCCACACGAAGTTTGGAGACCTGTAGCTATTGACTCTGCAGCCAGTTGGCGACCTCTGTGCACTGTGTGCTTCAGCATGCGCTGACCCCGCTCTGTCATTTTATGTGGCCTACCACTTCGTGGCTGAGTTGCTGTTGTTCCCCGTCGCTACCACTTTGTTATAATACCACCATCAGGTGACCATGGAATATTTAGCAGCAAGGAAATTTCAGGGAACACCTGAATCCAATGATTTGGAGATGTGTCCCAATACTTTTGGCAATATAGTGTATGTCCTAAGTTAAGAAGAAAAGTAATATATTCTTATTATTGCCTCCATGGGATTATAAACTGGATATCACAGAGTTGATAAACTTGCATTGAGTGTGTAGAACTTTTATATACACAGAAGTATGTCTATTTATGTCATCATGGACTATTTTTTGGGCAATGTACGTGTAGACCGGCTTCATCACATTCATCTGGTATTGTGAGATGTTCTCCCATTAACTAACACAATATTTTCTATGTACGCTGCAGGGGATATGCAGTGTGGAGATTTTCCAATGTTTAGACTTTCTAAATGCATGGTTGACATGTTATGTTGTATTTATAGTAACACATTAGCAGGGCCTTGCATTAAGAAGGGGTTTTTTTAGATGTTTTTAAGGGTTGGGTATATACAATGTCTTTATACATTTGTTTTTATGTAGTTTACTGTATGTTATGCATCCATTCCACAGAGTTCAGAGATGTATAACGTAGTGGAAACCTGCTTGGAAAATTTGTATCTTTGATATCTGAAAGCTCGGTTATTTTCTAGTGGAGGATGCCACTTTCAGACTTACAAATTGCATGCTAATTCTAGAGCAGTGCAGCACCTTACACTATGAATGAAGCTTCATAAAGTATAACTCAAGCCTGAAGTTTGCAAACACTCAGGCTATGTTTCAAGATCATACAATGCAGATATTCTTTATTTCCTTTTTCTTTAAATACTCTAGGCAAATTTGGGACAATGGAATTACCCTCTCCACGGTCTTATCTGTCAATGTTCACTCCTTTCCCTTTGTGGCTCCCGGTATGCGCTTCTTAGCTAGCTCTTAGCAAGAAGCGCTTCTCATTGGTCACTGCAGTCAGAAGCGCTTCTCATTGGTCAACGAGTGCTTGCCATTGGCAAGCGAAATATAAAATATGTACCACAGGGCTGCAATCCCGTGTACAGA